GACTCAACGAATCCCCGAACACGATTACAATTGATTATTAACCGTTCCTTGCGCAAGTCGTTATATCGCAATTGCAATTGTTTGGACTTGTGACCACGATGCAATAAATGAGGCTCACAAGATGCAGTTTCTTATCAGATCTACATGGCGCAGGAGTAGACTGCATGTGAAACAGTCATGTAAAAGACCCTGTCACTGTCACCTTTTTAAATTCAAACCACGAATGTTATTCGTTTGGCAGGGGACCGGAACCATTGGAAAGACGTGCTAAAGCGGCTGCCTCCGCTGATCCGAAAAGGAGTGAGGAACTTTGGAAATGGTTCGATGGAAGTTCATGGCGTTTTTTTCTCAGAAATTTCGTTTTTTCAGATGTCCCATAGACAAAAGAAATATTATTGAAATTAGCCGGTTTATGTGGCAGTTCTGTTGGATGCTTAAGTATACAGTCAGGAAATTGAAACCTGAATGGAAATTAGAATACGATTTCTTTCATCACTGAAATACGTGAAGAAATGCTAAACTTTCTGAAGCAGCGGGACATGATTGTTTTTCGTCGCAAGAGGCCCCAGTTTACTTTTAGTACTTTGTAAGAAATTTGGGGCAACGTCACTCCGGTTGATGTCAGGCGTCTGTCCGTCGGTCGGTACAAACAGAAAAGGAATTTCGAACCGGGTAGGATCCGTCCTTTGTTGCCTGCTTACTGCTGCTTGTTTCATACTGCTAGGTGATACATGCCCGCGTTCATCCGATTACTAGTTTATCTTTGCACCTTGTAACGGATGACAACGATGTAAGCAGCAGTCTCCAGTTTCAAGCATCTGTATGTTAAGTGCTTATAAGCACGTAACGCGAGCTTGTAAACAAATGCACGGCGATGTTGTTCCGTCCGTCACTGCTGAGCAACTGTTAGCGCGCGAAAGTTACTTCGATGTGGCATGGACCGGTGAAAAGCAAACTGGATGTACCAGCCGATCAGTGTCCTACAGTACGGGGGCTGGCGACGGTCGCGAGAGGTTTGTGGCCAGCTCGTCGCCGGCCGGTGTCCTGGTTTGGTGCTCTCGTAGGACCCGATGGCAAACGATGTGGTGGAGCGGCAGCACTTTTTTTACGTTGAAGAGTTTAACAGAATTTCTTCATGGTTCATTCACTGGAAAGGATTTCAACATTTCAAGTATGTGTTGCTGCCTGCGCAGTGGATCATTTCAGCAGGGACGTGTCATCGGCCGTAGGTATCAGGGATGGCAGTGGCAGTGGCGTTTGCTGTCAAAAACAGAAGAAATAAAATCGTTGCAGCCATCCGTTCCGATTTTCGTATTTGTTACACTTCGATGACGATGTCGATGACGAGTCCTGCTTGTCACGCCTTTTGTCACGGAGCACGGAGCCTGTCGTTCGGCGTTGATCTTCTTGACGAGGCCATCGATTCAGAGCGGTTTGTTCGTGAAGGTAACATCTAGCGACTGTTTGTACGGTGAATGAAGAAACTGAATTTAGATCTTGTTGTACATGTATGCTAGACGAAGTTGTGGAAAGAGTACCAGAACAGCGGCACCTCGGAAGTACACTGGCTGCAGACGGACGAGTGACAAACGAAGTTTGGACGCGCTGTGCGTTTGCATTGATCGTGAGTAACAAGTTATTCAAGGTCTGAAACGACAGCTATTCGCAGTAGCACATAACTGCGGATACGCACCTACTTCTTCATCGCACTGGACATACCTCTTTCCTTGGCTTGGAGATGGTAGCATCTAACAGGGCTGAAAATGGACAATTGGAAGCAACGCAATGAAGCGATTAGCGACTTGTTGTCAACTGCTGATGTGAGAGAGATTGGAATATCCAA